AAAAAAAAAAAAAAAAACGAAACGAAAGGAAAGAAAACGAAAAAAAAAAAAAAAGAGGAATGCTTATGCCCACATTCGACATTGCCGTTTTGCAGTTGACATTTTTTGCGGAAAAATCCTTGATCATCATCTGCCCGTTAAATCTTTTTTTGGTTGTTTTTGCTTGACTACGCAATTTATGGCAGCTACCACCACTCTGTATCCATCCGATAGCTTTCTGATTTTCATCGCAAAAATATACACACACACGAATCTTTAACTCAATCAGTTTAAATGGCTGTCATCAACGCAGTTGTTGTAAACGGTACAATTAAGACGCCATTTTTAAGTAAGCAATGAATAAACCCAAAATGAAAAAAACTGTTATCAAACAATCAAAATGTAAACTTATCTTTGATAAAGCAAAAAAAAATCATATAAGAGTAATGGAAAAGATGTATTTTCAAAAAAAAAAAACTCATTTAACATTTTCAGAAAAATATTAACAAAATCCTGTAATATTTACCCATAAATAATATATTAACAAATAAGTGAATAAAAAATAGGCAAGTTTAGGAAAAAGTTACTAACAAATAATACTAACATTAAGGTGGAAAAAAACGAATGAACAATAAAGATAAAAAGAACTAATCACTTCCTAAATCTTTGTAGAAAAAACGGATAAAAATACAGTTAGAATGTCACAAAAAAAATCACAGATTAGTAAAAACACTTCAGTCAGAACTGATCAATAAATGGCAGTTATTTGGAACATCAGTGAATTTGTAGGATTAGTGTCGGCTGTGTGTAAAACAATCAATTTTTTTTCAAAAAACTTGCAACACTTCGACGTACTTTCGGAACATTTCTGACTGTCAATGATATCCTAAAAAGAAAATAACAAATTAGTGAAAAAGACTGAAAACTTATATAATGAGGAAATCCTTCAAATAATATCAATAGTCATCTGTTCATAAAAATTTACGCATTTCTATCTCATAGGCAATTGTATCACTAGCCAGAGCTAAACATTCGAGTATGAAGAAAATTCAACAGGGAACCAAAAGACAAACAAAA